TAATATACTTCAAAGGTCAAGAGTGAACGGTTTGGTAACCATCTACATCTGTAAACTCTCAGGTCTACATCTACATCAGGTAACCATTTACATCTGTAAACTCTCAGATCAGTGATAGCTTTTTTTTTATCCCTACAGTAACCTCAATGTTGGCAACAGTGTGCTTTTTAAAATACATGTACAATGCTATGCCTAGCTTTTCTGCAAGCATTCAGATTATGAAGACGGAGACAGACAGATTCCCCTGGGGGAAGACCTATCATTTGCTGCCTCCAGGCTTGGTCGCCAGATGGCGTCAGAGAGCAATCCTCTCAGCTACCCTTTATAGAAGGCGGTAATGATTGGTTTGCTCCACAGTCAAGCCTGCTGACAGTGGAGAGACATTGGAAGCCTACATTGAAAAAAAAGGAATCCTGCTCCAGAGGCCACTTTTACACCCACAGTGGCGGGGCTCTGACCAGGAGAGAACCAAGGGCCTGAAATTTCTGAATAGATGAGACTTCTGATCTGAGGCCATAGCGCAGCGGATTGCTGCAGGCTTGCAGCAAGGCCATCGGACTGCTTCTGTGGCATCTGACACCTCTCCACATCTCGGCCAACACCTGGCACCCCAAATTCAAAGAGACTTGATGGCCTTTCAGGAACCTTGCTCACCCAGTTCATCCATACAGAGCAGGGAATGGGTCTTAGGAGATGATCAGAAAGAACTAATACTTTCAGAGGATGAAGGGTTGGCCCTTGACCGACCCCCCCCCCCCACCTTCACAGGGCTCTTTCGCCCGGCCCTCTTTAAATTTCTCCTGTATAAGGCCAAAACTACAGCCCACATGGGAGCTCAACTAAGTACATCGGAGTCGGCACTGGGACTACCAGCCCCAAATGAGCTTCTCTTTTCAGAGCCAACCACAGAAAGTGAAGAGATCCCTTCACCTAAATTATTCCTGGACGTGGTCCAATTATCACCTGGCCCAAAAGAAGAGCTCATTTGAATACTTTATGGATAATTTATCTGGAACAAAAGAGAAATGATTACACACAGATGGAAGGTTGATGGAACATTTCTTTATAATTGTAATAATACGACTTTGAGGATTGGTTGAGAAAAAAATGCAAAAAATGTAGCTACATTTCAGTGTAACACTAAATCATGATTTTCTCAAAATGTTTTAGATTTTGACTCCAATTACCCCTATCCAGACTGCCTAGAGATTTTAAATAGAGAACAGTAGCAGAAAATACTTGAAAAGGCCAGCATGCCTACTTTCTTCCTAAAATATATATAGTAGAACGAGAGAAAAAACTGATCTCACTCATCTTTCCTTTCCTTGCACAGTTAAATCTATGGCTTGTTTAGTCTAAAAGGGAATTGTGTATTCATTTGTGAGCCTTCAAATCAAGGTTGACTCCTGCTGACTATCTGGACAGGTCCCTACAGTTGGCAAGGTTTTCAGAAATGATTTGCCCTTGCCTTCCTAAGATTTTAAGAGAGTGACTGGCCCAAGGTCACTCCATTCATGTTGTGCCGAAGGCAGGAATAGAACTCACTGTCTTCCAGTTTCTAGCCTGTCTTAACTACTACACCAGATTCATTCTCAAAAAGGAATTGGGGTCACCTGTAATTAGGTTGAAGAAATGATTTTTTATGTGGTCACAGGAAATGATTAAATAATTCTATGCTAAATTGTGTTCAGTAAAACCTAGTGGAAGATAAATGGGGATCTTGATCCCCTTTTGCATTCTTAACCATATATTCATGCATTCCTGAGTTTATCTTTGTGTAAATATTTTCATAGAATAGGAAAGACTACTTTTTCCATTGTTTTCAAAAGGGAAAATACCAGTTATGAACCAATATTGAAATTAGTACAGGTATATTTTTATTATTTTTATATATTAAATTTATTTTTGTAGTTATATTACAAACTATGTGACTCTCTGTGGCAAAAACAGAAAAAAACGATGTAAAATAACATAGCTCATTAGAATATTCTGTAGTTTTATGGGTGAACAAAACTGTAGATTTCTATAAGTGGTGACTTAGTTCAACAGCCAGATTCTAAACACCTTCCTCAAGGACTATACGGTTGGGACCAACTATGCATCCAGGAAAATTATCGGCACGAAAAAGGTTAGCCACCACTGTTGTAGGTGATTACCAGCACTTTAAATTGTACATGTAAGCCTATTGCACATTGCACCTTTCAGAGTAAAATTGGAGCTGGGAAGAAGTGCCTGCCCACCCACCTGGATTCTCTAGTGCCTGCCTGTGCACCCCTTCTCCTGTGCTCCATATCACCTGCTTGTGGCACCCACCCGCCTGCCTGCCTACTTTTCATAGTCCCTGTCCATGGCACCTGCCCATCTACCTGCGGCTTTTGCCAGCCTATTTGCCTGAGATTCCTGCAGCCTACTTGCCTGGAACTCCCACCTCTTCCCATGTCATGCTCTTTGTGAAATGACTCCGAGTCTCAGAGTTGCAGTGACCGCCAGAATCACTGGGATTGCCATCACTCAGCAATATGGTCATGTGATATTACACTTCATGATTTCATTGTTTAGCATACCCAATCACAACAGGGATATTTAAATTGACTTAAAGTGTGTTTTACCTACATTTTGTAAAAAGAACTTTCAGAAAAGTGGTTTTGGGTAACAAAGGAAACAGTTCTTCCAATTCTTAAAAGGTGTTTATTTTAATTATTAAAAAACTTAAAGCAAATATTCTTCTACAGACACTAGAAAATTAACTTTAATCATCTGTGAGATATAAATGTATTTCATTACTCTCTGGTTAACATCCTATAGATGTTCATTGAAAAGTTAAATCCTAATGTTTTGCTGGGATTTCTTCTCTGGAAAATGTATAAAATTACCTTCTAATTACAGACTTATCTTAGCAAAGCCTGTAGCTAAGCATGTAATATAAAAATTAAATGATTGCTTATTCTTTTCATATCTGTCCACCTCATTTTACTCTGTAAATCTTATATGGTTCAATTGCAATAATAAAAATAAATCCTAGATTTTTATCTTGTGCTCTGAAGATTACTATGTAATTACATTCCTTGTTTATTAATTCAGATATGGGGATGGAGTGGAGGTGCTAGTATATTTAGGAAACCAAGCAAAGTAACATGGCTTAGTGAAAACAAATTTGCTGCATTAACAAGTTAAAAAAAAAAGTCACGTTGAACACCACTACTTCCTTGCGTTTTCTTATGCTTCCTTATGGCTAAAGTAACTGTATTAGAAGTTACTCTGCAACAGTATGAACACAAATGATCTAGGCTTCCCTATTTCACCATACTTTATTGAGTGGTAATTCCAGAACAAGTTTCCTCTGAAGTGTTTTGATTCATGGGAAAAATCAACCAGTCAGCTGAGTGGCTGCCAGCAATTCCCTCAGGTGTAGATGTTGCTAGGCAGAGGCTTGACCCCTCCCCTCAGGAGCTGCAAAGTGCTCACCGCCCCTTTGGCAGCTGCCAAGCCTCCTTCCACTGTGCTTCCTCCTCGCCAGAAGCGCTCACATGCCCAGCGGGAGGGAGGAGGCTTGGCGATTGCCAGAGGGGGAGGCAGGAGGCAACACCAGTTCAGAGATTCCTTCCCCCCCACGCCCTTGCAGGCCAGGGAACACCTGGGAAGGGCTCCAATGCCATGAACTCCCATGCGCATCAGTCCATCTGCCACCAGTATCACCCTTGTTGCCCCATCACCCCACCAGCCATCTGGTCTTCGGTACGTGGCTCTTCGGCCTCAGGACACCAGTTCAGAGGTTCCTTCCCCCCCCCCCCCCCCCAGGGACAGAGAGAGGGGAGAGAGAGAGAGAGAGAGAGAGAGAGAGAGAAAAGAAGGGGGCAGGGAAAGAAAGATGTGTTTTGTTTTCTATGAGAAACAGGCAGCCAAGCTAAGTGCCTGAAGGACCCAATCCCCTCAGTTGGGAGTCCAGGCCCTTCAGTGAGTGGCGCGCTGGATTCTTATTAATGGTCCATTAAAATTATGAGTTTTGTGGTCTCTGAGGTCCAAAAGATTGGTGACCCCTGTTCCAAAAGACCCTTGAAGATCTTGAGGGCCCTTTGGAAAATCAAAAGCGATGAAGCCAGCTTCATTTCTGCCACCTAGAATCTACCAAATGTAGCTCTCTAGCCGATGAAACCCATAGCATGTTTTCTCTACTATTTCTGGTGGGACAGGCAGATATAATTGATGAGAAGGAGTTCCTCAGATAACTTGATCCCATGCTATGTAGGATTTTAAAACTCAAAACCAGCATCTTGAATTGACCTGGAAACAGACTGGTAAGCAATGCAGCCTCTTCTCCCTATGCAGAAGAAAAAATGCTGATTTACACACTACTAGGTATAGCCAGAATGAAAGAGACAGTTGTGTCACAGTTGAAGATTGGACAAGGCATCTCTAAGTTCCGAGCTATTGTTGATTTTATAGATTAAGGACTGTGCTTTAATTGTACCCAGAACTGAATTGGGAACCAGTGCACGACCCTTGGTGTTACAGGTTCCCAGTTTATACATGAGGGGCTGCATTTTGGACAAGTTTTAATTTCTAGCCTTTTAAGGCACACTTACATAAATCACATTGCAAGATATAAGTTACTGTAGCTAGGATGTCCTGGATCAGATAAGGCCAAAAATTACATACCATAGTTAGGCAAAGACGCTCAACTTACCACAGAGTCTACCTGCTTTAAGCAGGAGCGAAGAATGTTAAAGGGCTTCCAAATTGTAATCACAGGGCTTCTTGAGAGACAAATCTGGTGTCAGTGAAAAAAAACCTGATGTGCAACTAGCAATTCTGTTTAAATTTACTTTTGTTTAAATTTGCTTTTGTTTAAATTTACCAATGTCTAGCCACCAAGACAACATGGATAGCATGAGTCTCAGAACCTGGGGATATGTATAAAGTATAATTAGCATCATAGCAATTTAACTGCTTTATTTCTCTGTTTTATTTCTTAATTCCATTCTTTGCTGTTCTGTTCACAGATTCGCACAAACATAAAGATAAACACAAAGACCGAGAACATCGACACAAAGAGCACAAGAAGGATAAAGACAGAGAAAAATCCAAGTACAGTAATAGGTAAGGCCAGGTATTTTTATGATCTGAATGTGCAAAATCTCAACTTTCAAAATCTTGAATAAATTTGGATTATTTCAATCTGCTCGTTACTACAGAGATGAATTTGGACAGTTTGTCAATGTTTAGTTCATCATTTATTAATGTTCTGATTATTTTAAAGGGCTTGATTCTTTCGGGTTGATTTAACCTGTTAAAGACCCCTGTTGGTAGGCAAGTTATACTTGATCCGATATAGTCTTGGAGAGTAAAATAATTACATGTTCTATAGTAATAAAACCCTGTTTCTGTGTTCTGTTTGCCATAGTAAATATCAAATGGAAAGCCTGTACACATGAAATGATAGTATAAAATGATTCATACCAACACAGTGTATCTTGAAGGAAGTCATCTTGACAGATCTGTGATACTGCTACATATTTATACAGTTTTATTAAAAAATGACCATTTAAAATGTTACGCATAATTGATCTGGTCACATCATAAAATGATATTGAAATAAGAAATCCTTAAGGCTACAAAAATACATTTTAATATGATTTTTAATTAATTTTTAAAAGATGATAAAAACTAATATAATGTAAGAAAGAAAAAGAAGGCAAACTGTAAAAGTAAAGAAATTTTTTTGGAAAAAAAAATAGAAAAGAAAAAAAAGATGCAAAGAAGAGACTTCAATATTCACAACGGTTATAAATGCAATTATATTTTAACCTCTCTAAAGTTGCATCATAGTACCTTTCTTTCTATAACTTCTGACTCCAATTTTAGTGTAAAATTTGCAAAGATGCAGTCAATCCTTGTTTACTGACTGCAATTGGGACTGGCAATTCTGTTGCCGGCAGGACACTGTTAAATGCAACACCATGTGACTCCACCAACTGATGACATCAGTTCTGGCTGCAGTTAAGCAACTCAGCATGGGTTGTTAAGCACAGTGTCACATGATTGTAACTTGCAACTTTCTGACAATTTCCCCATTGACATGCTTGCTGCAAGCTGGTGGTGAAGATCACAAATGACAATCACATGACTGCAGAACACTGTAATTATCATAAATACAAGCCAGTTGCCAAGTGCTGAATCATGATTGTATGTTTGTGACTGCAGGGATCCTGTGATGGTTGCAACTTTGAAGATCGGTCATATTGTAAGCTTGAATGGTCATTGAATGATGAGTAGTTGATAAGCGAGGACTACCTGTACTTGATTTTGGTCTCTAGACCAGGGCTGTCAAACTTGGGCTGGATGCGTCACACGCTGGCCACGCCCAGTTTAGTGAAAGGGGGGGGGAAATCCTGATACATGATGCCCCTGCTCTAGACATTATGTGGTTAAAATTGAGTGGATTTTGAAGTTTGCAATATTGTTAGATTATTTGGGCCACTAAAGATATATTATATTGCTAATATATATTGGACACTCTTACATTGGACACCTCTATCAATCATACGTAATTAGACTTTAGGATTGGTCAACTGTTCAATGTTTTATGTTTATGAAAAAGGAAATTTCAGAATATAGTTGGAAAGAACCTGAATGATAATTAGGCTTAAAAGTAAGCCGTATAGCCTTCATGGCATTCTCGATTTGTTTTCATTTTTAAATCACAATTTGAAAAGAAATTACCGTATTTATCGGCGTATAACACGCACAGGCGTATAACACGCATCTTCATTTTAAGAGGGAAATTTCAGGAAAAAAATTTAAATTTCTAAATAAAAACTTTGAAGCACCGCCCGGCCTCCGCTTGCCCTCCGCTCGCACCGCCCGGCCTCCGCTCGCACCGCCCGGCCTCCGCTTGCCCTCCGCTCGCACCGCCCGGCCTCCGCTTGCCCTCTGCTCGCACCGCCCGGCCTCTGCTCGCACCGCCCGGCCTCCGCTTGCCCTCCGCTCGCACCGCCCGGCCTCCGCTGGCTTCTTAACATTATATCGGCGTATAACACGCATACATCATTTGCCCCCTATTTTCAGGGGGAAAAAAGTGCGTGTTATACGCCAATAAATACGGTATATCTTTGGCAAAGGGATTATCTTTAAAGCTCAATAGAAATAAATACTTTTGAAAGAAATACCTATATGTCCATTTATAAATTGAGGGAGGGAGTGTTAGATTTTTATTAAAGAATAAATTATGAAAATAAATAACTCAGAGTACTTACCTTCCTGTGAATCAACACATATTGCCTATTGGAATAGAAATGTGAGAATCTTTAGCTTTCATTTTTATTTAAATTGCATGCTTTCATAAATCAGAAGGGGAACATAGCTTACTGACTCGTGCCCTCCACTGTTGCATTTATTTTAGAATATCATAGTAAGACTTCTGTTAAAAACTACAAAAGCAAAATTTGTCTTTCATAGATTAGAAACTAGCTGAATGTTCTTAATATAGTTTAGTTATTAAAAAAAAGTTAGATAATACAGTATTTCCTCACAGTCAATATTTTTTATGTAATGCTTTAAATCACCTGATATTTTAATTGGGTTTTCCCAAAAAAAATATTGCTTAGCATTTGCTTTGATTGTGAGTAATTGAATATTTGTTGGAATCAAGCTAATCATTGTTTTAAAAGGAGATACCTCAAAAGGAGGCAATCTTTTTAAAATACAAGTTTGTCTTTGCTTACCATGTTTCTGCTTTCTCCATCAGGCCATAATATATTAATATAAGTGACTGATAACAGCTGAGCGTTATAAAACATTTTTTTCTCTTCTGTGAAATTTACTTTTGGGCAGACTTGGCCTTTTCTGGATTTTAATTCAACCATTATTTTTCCATGGCTTGGAAAGCAGAGTAACTATGAATTGGGATGGCACTTACTAGGTTTTTCTTTGTTTGTCTTCTCTATAAGCATAATTTTGTACATATTGAACATATGCTACTAAAATTATGTATGAAAGATAAAAAATAAAAAAGGAAAAATAAAAAGCTGCAGAAGTATAAAGTATCCTAAAAGCGTCAGTAGGATTTAAGTAGCATCTAAGCAACTTTAAAAATTAGTGGGAAAATTCTATTTTGGAGGGGGGGAGGATTCAGTAAAATAGTTGCTGAGAGATTTCCTTTGGAGAAAGACTGGGGTGCCTTTACTTTCTCTGCACACATTTGCTGGGTTTCCCTGGAGAGTAATTAAACAAATAAAAATGTGTTGCTGAAATGTTTGTGCCTCTACTTTTCTTTAAAGAGAAAGTATTGAATAATGTAAAGAAACTGAGTCACTCATGTAGTGTTATAATTGCATTGTTTTCTTTAAGTTTATATGTTCCTCGCTGGGATTACACCATTGAGAATTCCAATTAGTGTTGTATTGAAGATCATTTGAATTGAGATACATTAAACAAAGCACACATATGCCTGCAATTATGTCAGAGAAATGAAGTTACTTGTGAATTTTATTGATTTCTCTTAATCAGACTGACTTTACTATTGCTAGAAAAGAAATAGAAAGTTTTAAGTTAATGACAACTAGTATTCCTTTCTTTATCAATACAATCATTGCAATAATTTTTTGAAAGCTTGACTTCAGATGCTGATAATGGATGCTGATAATGTGTTATTTTTTCAGTTGCCTCTCTGACTGAAACTATTCTTAAACCTTACAGTGAACACAAAGAGTTTTCTGAGAAGAAACACAAAGAGAAGGAGAAAACCAAACATAAAGATGGTAGTTCAGAAAAACATGACAGACACAAAGACAAACACAAAGATAGAGAGAAGGAGAAGCGAAAGGAAGAAAAGGTACAGTACTATGATGGATATATTACTTCTTTGGATTGTACTTTTGTCAGGGATAAAGCCACACTCTGCTTTCAGGTTCTAAGTATCTGATCTGCAGCTCTTAATGCCAAGGAAAAAATAAGAGGAAATTAAAATTTTTGTACAAGATCATTGTTTGTTTAAAATGTCAAAAATGGGGAAAAAGAAAATAAATATAATTATGATAATACATTGTCAAAGAAAAGAAAATACATAGAAAATACTTTTTAAAAAGGTGAAAAAATGGAACAAAGAAAAATTATACAGTAAATTAACAGTAAAATTATACAGTAAATTAACAGTAAAATTGCAATTCTATTTGTACTTACCTAATGCGATTATTCAAGTACATCTGTATTTTTAGTAGAATCATATATCTACCATGCTTATTTTACCTGCTGCATTTTGTATAAATAAGCCCCATGTTTCATTACATTTCTCCATACAAAGTCTACATCAATAGGCTATCTGCTCATAATTGGCAAGTGCAATTAAATATTCAATCCATTAAGTGAAAGGGACCAAACATTTACCTTTCCCGATACTGCAGTATTTGTAATTTGGCCATAATAGTAAGGCCATGGAGAATTCAAATATATTATTCAGTTGTCAAATTCCAAGTGCTACATATGTAGTTCAAGAGAATATTTTTGTTTGAAAATTTTAATTTTCATCTCACAATTACAATAATGTCATCCACTACTTTCACAGCTTAGTAAGCTTAGAACATTGATAAAAAGTGTTTTATTGTCACAAACCTAAGGCGTTAAAAATAAAAACAAACTTTTATATTGTATTTGAGTGCCTTAAATTTATAAAAATAAATGCCATAGAAAAGATGCAATGTTTGGGATTAGTCTCACAGATAGAAAAGTTTCTCAGAATGTGAAGATACAAAAGCTTCTGGTGCAAGGTGTTTTGTCAGTCCCATGGGGAGAAAATCGGATGTCATTTTTTAAAAGCATAATGACCCAGTTCTCACTTATGTCTTTTAGAGTAAATCATCTGGTGAAATGAAAATAAAGAAAGAAAAAGAAAATGGCTTCTCCAGGTAAGCAAGTAACAACTTTGCATAAACATGCTTTCTAATTTTTGTTCTTGTCTAAAAAGAATGAAATACATTTCAACAAGAAATCCTGGTCTATATTATCTGCAAATTAGCACAGTGTTTCACATCAGGTAATAGGCACACCTCTACTAGTATGTTAAATTGGATATATCCTATTATATCCTGGATCAGGGCACGAGAAAGCAGAAAGATGACAGAGGATCAATGAAAGGACTTGTTCTAAAAAATATTGAAACAGTGTATCAGATTACCTGAGCTCTGTGCAACTTGCCCAAGCTCCTGCCTACTCAGCAGTTTGAAAACATGCAAATGCAAGTGGATTAATACATGTCATTTCAGTGGGAAGGTAACATTGTTCTGTGTGCCTTTGGTATATAGCCATGTTAGCCACATGATCACGGAAATTCTCTTCAGACAACACTGGCTCAACCCAAAAAAAACAGATAAGCACCATGCGCTAGAGTCAAACATGACTCACAGGGAAACATTTACCTTTTGTTTATGCTCAGAGGCTTATGTTTTATTGTTGAGGGGTTTTATTCTCTTGTTCCTTGTCATGAAATTCTTACAGGACTTTGTTTCCATTTTAACATTGAATATTGGAAGTGCTTCATTCCAGAGTAGATAGGAATGCAACGACAATGAGTCAGTTCTTGTTGGCAGGTAGAATTAGTGAGCAAGGTCAGATTCCAGATGATGATTTAACTATTATTTTTTGTAAATGTGTTCCTTCCACATATAGCCCACCACGTATAAAGGAAGAAATAGACGATGATGGCTATTTTAAAGAAGATTACAAGAGACCCCGAGAGGATGATGAGTGAGTGTTAAATTCAGCTGTCTTCCCAGTTCTGAATCTTGATCACTGAGCTGATTAGCTATATCTCTTAATAAGATCAGAACACAAATTTATATCTGGTCTAAAATTCCGAATATTTTCCAGTTGTTGCATTATCATATTATTTTGTAGACGTTCTCTAAAATAAAGTTGATCGATATAAGGAGCAGTGAGGGGCAGTATCTGAATCAAGCACTAAAGCGTGAAACTATGCTATTTCACAGATGTAGCATAGATAATTCATATTTATTGTCAGATGCTGGGATAATTTCTATAATCTTGAAAATGACCTTTAAAACAACCAATTATTAAACCAACAGTTTAATGACAACCTTATTTTAAGAATGTTTACTTCTCAGAGCTGTTTGCTGAGATGGACAGCCATACAAATTGAAAGAAGATAGATGGATGATTGGACAGGCAGACAGACAAAAAATAACCTTTTGAAATGGAGGCAGGGTAATTTTTTCAAGCACTAATATTCAAATAGAACTGATGGAGAAATGAATTATTTGCAATTATTTTGCAATTTCAGTATTGACTACAAGCCTAAGAAGATTAAAACTGAAGATGTAAAAAAATCAAAAAAACGAAAACAGGAAGATGAAGAGGTATTTTTTACATTTTATTTTACCTTATGGACTGCCAACAATTTATGACAGCGGATCAGTGTTAATCCCAACATAAATTTAAATTTTGGCTTATATATATACTGTGTTTCTCAGAAAACATGATCCACCCCAATAATAAGCCTAATCCTAATTTTTGGGGGGTGGGCCTAATATTACCCCTACCCCGAAAATAAGCCCGGGGATGGGCATGGCCAGCACAAGTGGCAGTGGGGGCTGGGGGGCAAGTGTCCGGCTGCAGAGGGGCAAGTCATTCTGTGCTGAAGCAGAGGCATTCCAAGCCATTCGGAATGGAGCCTTCTGTGTTGCAATCCTGGGATACACTGAAGGCTCGGAGTGGAGCCGTTTTTGTGAAAGGCAGGAAAATGGGAAGGGAAATTTTCCTGCCTGTTATCCATTCCTCTTAGAGCAGGACCCTGCAAGGCTTGTTGTGGCGTTGCACTCATGAATGGCAGCACCTCCGTGAGCTTCACACCGGTGCAGCTGGCATCCTTCCGTGAGTAGCTGTGCCAGTGTATCCAAACTCGCGGCGGTGCTGCCGCTTGCAAACACAACGGCACAGCAATCCTTGCAGGGTCCTGTTCGAAGAGGCTGCGCCGATGTGATGAACCTCATAGCAATGCCACCGCTCGCACGCACAACGGCACAGCAATCCTTGCAGGGTCCTGGAATATGCTGAAGGTTCGGAGTGGAACCATTTTTGCGAAAGGCACGAAAATGTGGAGGGAGAAGGAGCTTGAGGAATGGATGTCAGGCAGGAAAATTCCTCTCCCCATTTTCCTGCCTTTTGTGAAAAAGGCTCTACTCTGAGCCTTCAGCGTATCCCATGACACTGCAAGGCTTGTTGTGGCATTGTGCATGCAAGTGGCGGCACAGCAATCCTTGCAGGGTCCTGCTTGAAGAGGCTACGCCAATGTGACGAACCTCACAGCCGCCACTCGCACGCACACTACAAAAAGCCTTGCAGGGTCCTGGGATATGCTGAAGGCTCGGAATGGAGCCGTTTTTGCAAAAGGCAGGAAAATAGGGAGGAGAGGGAGCTTGAATAGATGACAGGCAGGAAAATCCCCCCTCCCCATTTTCTTCCCGTTTGCCAAAAAACCCTCCATTCCAAACGCTGAAGTTTTGGAATTGAGGCTTTTTGGTGAACAGGGAGGAAAATGGGGAGGTCTGCCATTCTTCCCTCAGTCTGGGCTAAACTTGTGAAATAGCTCCTTTTAGCTGCTACAGAAGCGACCTGGTAGAGAGGCATGGGTGCGCATGGGGCGCTTTCAGCTGCTAAAGAAGGGGCCCATTGGAGAGGCAAGGCACATGGGGCATTCCTTCGGATAGAAGCAGCCCAATGGCTGGGCGAGGCACGTGGGGGGGAAATTAAGACACCCCTCGAAAAGACAGCCTAGCTGTTTTTTTTCGGGGGTCTAAAAAAAGGCCCTGTCTTATTTTCTAAGAAACACAGTAGTAACCCTATATTTAGCTTGAATTATGGATGTAATTAAATTTGTAGATGATACGATATGAATATAGCATATTTACTTCAAAATACACTTTCTCTTTTATTTATACGTGTAGCATATAGCGGGGTGGGATTCTACCAGTTCTGCAAAACATAAATCACTGAACCGGTAGTTACACCGGTCAGATCCCACCCCTGGCATATAGGGCTTACAGAAAATCAAATTTTAATTTGAACAGTGTTGATAATTTTGCTTGGACCTATTATATCCACTTAAAAATAACTGTTCATAATCTTTATATATTAATTTTGATGAAACTTTCTCATAATCCCAGTGTATAAAACAGCTAAAATACTTGCATGCTAAACTTGCTTTTCTATTAAGAATATTTTAAATGGATTCCATTTTACACTAATTTTTAAAATGTAAAAGAATCTTGTATTACTATGGTACATTTTCATTTATCTCTTTAGGAGAGTAAACCGAAGAAAATAAAAAGCAAAGATAAGAAGCCTCCAGAAGGAGAAATGAAAAAGAAAAAAACAAAAAAAGAAGAGGAGCAGAAATGGAAATGGTAATACCTACATACATTTGTATATACATGTCCATCAAATGTCTTTCATATTAATCAACATTATGAACAGCATAGAAAAGAAGTAAGAAATAATAAACAAAACAAGTGGCATGAGACCTAGCAAAAGGAAAGGAAATATAGCTAACTTTCTTTTATACCATGTACCTTACATTTCTATCCTTTGCAAACTATCTTTGTTTCAAATAACATAGTTAAAACCAGTTTGTCTGCATTTAGGTTACTCCTAGGTACCTTTACCAGTATAAAGTAACCAAATAAATATGTCATCAGATATTCAGGGAACTCTCTCAGGAACATGGGAGAGACTCATTGGCCAAGTGGCTGGACCTAGGATTCAAGTGACTACAACACTGCTCTTGCTTCTCCTAATATGTACAGTGAGTTTTTGGGGTCAAGAGCACATATCTTGATAACTCAAAACATTGTCATTTTCTCCCTCCTTCTGTCTTGTCTTTTGAAGGTGCAAAGCTATTCTGCTTCCCTTTCATCCTCTGTCTTCCTTTCATAGGGTTAGGGTTATTCATCTTTGTTTTTCATCTTTAAGGCTTTGAGCTCATTAATGGCCTTCTCTAAAGAGCCTGTTATTAGCCTCAATCCCAGTTTTGAAGTTTGAAGAACTAGAAGCTGTCTCAGTGAGAGGAAATCAGTGTGTTATTCCCCACTATTTTATGAAACCCCTTTATTTCTGATTTGCAGAATGTTAGCCTTTAAAACAATACAATCAGCCCAGTGGTGGTATTCACATGTGTGTTTTGTAGTGGTTGTTTTTGTCTGTCTGAAGCTAATGTATAGTAATTTTGAATGCCATTATTTAACAGATGCTTGGGATATATACATTTGTAGATGTGAAATAAGCAGTATCTTAGTTCACCTTTCTAGAGCTGTGGCTTTTTCTTGAGTTTTGTGACCATTATCCTATCCTGTATCATAACTGCTATATATTGCTGAAATACAGACATTATTAACAGTGCTGCAATTGTTCATATTTTCTGCCTGCTAGTGTGCTCTATGCAGTAGTTAATTTTAGTGCAGAGTGTTTGTTTCTGGTGCACTTGTTAGTCTGGGCTTTCCTAGTTACATCAACACACTTAAGGCTGTTTCACATAGTGTGCTTTTTGCAAGCAAAATGCCCAGTCCTCGAAAATATATCACCAAATTCCAGTGGCAAACAACTGAGAAACGACAGGATTTTTTTTGTGGGCAGGGGAGAGGGATTGGAAGACAACAGAATAAAAATGTTCTTTCTAGCATCACAACTAATGAAAAAATGAACTTCTCACCAAATCAAAAACACCTGAGACTTTCTAAGTATTCCCACCTACTTCATTGATATAAATAGTGTTGCTTGTTTCCCCCAAATAAAAATCATTTAAAGAAATGCATCTCCTGGCTTGCACACTATGATCTGGCCAAAATAAAGGCCTTTACACACTATTTATTTCAGAGGGCAACTCCCCCACCAAGATGTAGTTCTCTGCCTCATGTTTTGCTATTAACATTTTAATGATATTTGAAATCTGTTTCTGTAATAAACCATGAGACAATGGGCACCTGAATATACACTTGTTAAACATTTAGAGCTTCCTATAGCCTAGGTGAAGGCATTCACATATATAAGATATTCTGAAATTTTACTCTGGTCCTATTGGGTAGATGTTGGTACTAGATAAATTAATGTTTATTAACAGAATTCTAACAAGGGCTCATTTTAAAAAAAATTGTGCATTACTTTTATACATGTTCTAATGTGATCTAAAAATTGATTCTCAGTTTCTTGGCATATAAATTCAGAAACCTGGTCTTGGTTGTTGTTTTTTTAAAAAAAACAAGTTTTATTAATTCTTCAAGACATACAATACATAAATACACACAAACACAAAACATAAAAGCATAAAAAATCTCTTTTCTGAAAGTTGCTTATAACTCTTGGTACAGACACAAATTCAAATTCATATTCCTTTTATATACCATTTCATATCTTATTAACATTTTCAATTTTCTATATAACTTCTCTCTTTTAAATTTTCTCAATTTTATTTTATTTATCTCCTCTCAATTCAGATCATAGTATTTATTATTCTTTGTCTGTTCTATTTCCAGCCATCCATTTATTTTTCTTCTTTAAAAAAGAAAACTTCTCCTGTACACTATATGGAGTATGATGCCTTTATCTCTCTCCCCTATATTTATAATACTTAATATAAAACACATAACTTACATTGGGATTCTGTCTGGTACATTCTAAAATTATACTATGTTATCGAAAATGATACAAATCTATTCATTAGTATTGATATTCATTTATATCTTGAACATTTAACACATTACTTTTCAATTAAATCACATACTTTTATGGGAGCCCTATTTTCCATAGTTATTCCCCCCCCCCCCACATCACATATTATAGCTCATTATTTCATTACGATGTTCCTCCTTCTTCTACTTCAAATCTCTCATTTCACAAAAAATTTCGCTAATATACCATAGTCTGATCATTAATATTAACAATCATTTATATCTTAAACATTTTATCCATTTCAATTAAATATGCCTTTATGGGAACAGTTATGCTTTCCAAAAATTATTAACCCCCCCCCAGATCACAATCTTAAATCATATTTCATTGCAGTACTCCTTTTTTCTTAACAAAAATTTCACTAGTTTATGTTAAATATTTTATCACATTTTAAATTACATATTATTTCCAATTTTCTATGGTTATTTCTAAATACAAATATAAAAATACAGTCTTATGTACCTTTCTAGAATCCCTTTATCAATAAAGTTTATCCATTATCTCTAAAAAACTTTTGCTTCTTAACTTCTTGCTCCCCACCATTAGGGCTTCTCATCCCTTCCTTTCTCCCTTGCTTCTTCTTCTCCTTGTCCTCTTTAACCCCTTGTCTCTCCACCTCCCTTTTATTCTGTTTTCCCCCTTTCTGTTGTTTCCTAACATAATGTCCCTTTTTCACCTTATTCTTCTCTTTTTGGGTTGTTTTTCCAGATATTAAAGTCCTCTTTTCCTTTTTCTCTTTCTTTTTCCCTTCTCCAACCAAAGTCATTTGTTCATCAAAGATGGCTTCTTCTTTGTCCCCTTCATCCTGTTGTTCATTCTGCTTCACATAAGTATAAACCGCCATTTCTAAAAATTGAAAAATAGTGCCAAGACCATCTTTCCCTTGTTTTTCTTTTTCATATTTTTGATATACAAGTTTCAATCCATCCACAAGTGATGCCATTGTGTAGAGAAAAAGTTTTTCCAGACAACCACCCAGATGTTTTAATCAGAAATAATTCTCAAAAGTTCCAAAGTCACCAAACAATCCAAACAGGCTGTTTCTTTTAAATACCTTCTTCTTCTTCACTTTCTCTTTCTGGAGTTAAAGTTTAATCACAAAGTTCCCTTTCAAATATATTTTTTGGAAGACTTATTGATGTTTAGTAACTCTTTAAAATTCTAGGCAATCTTCTCCTTATTTTCAAATTTTGCTCCAATTTTTTTCCCTCTCCCTTCCCACTCACAGCTAAAAGGATTTTTTCCCTCCGCTGTCACTTTAGGAAGGAGAGTGGAACAAAGAAAAAACTTTCCCTTTTAAAATATTCGCAGCTTGTAACTCTCACTAGAGACAATGCATACTTAGCAGCCTTCAAGATTCCAGGTCACTTTCTCTTGTCTTGTCCCGGTTAGAAGCAACTTTCACTATTCTTCCGACTTTCTCCCTCCTGCACCTGCTTGTCCGGCTGCAGATTTCTTCGTGGCGGCCATTGCTGACCGCCGTTCCTCCGCCTCGGGAAAAGGGGGTTTAGCCGGCTGGGGAGGGGGTCTGCGACACCCCCAAACCCCTTTCCGGATCCCCCCTGTCTTCAGCTGCCTCTACGGGGCAGCTTTATCCCCCAGATCCAAACGGATCGTGGGAACCTTGGCGGCGAACGCAGCAGGGATCGCGTGGTGTCGCGAATCCCTGCCGCCGCCGAAACCTTGCAAACTGGAAGTCCCTGGTCTTGGTTTTGAAATTCCTTGGTCAGGCATCAAAGTATGTAACACACACCCCTACCCATTTTATATATTTTTCAAAAAATGGTAATTTGTAGTAATTCATCAGATGTTTCCTGAGATGTTTCACTTTACATTTTAATGCAGAAGTATAGTAAATGTATATTAATATGAATTATGTTACTGATAGGTTTTTAAGTGCTATTTTATGTAACTTAGGAGTATTAGCAAGAATAAATTCAGCTTTCTTCTGTTATCCTCATTTACCTGTTTTGTGCCTTTGTATAGTAGAGGTCATTGATTTATTGCCTATTATCTTTAAAATTCTTTATTTTATAAAATATCTTGACTAATTTTAACATTTTTACAGAAAAAAAAGTTAATGATGTGACATAAAGGCAAATCAAGAAATTATCAGTGAAGAACATTATCTATTATAAAGATAAAGATAAGTTTTTAGGCACAACAGAACAATGAAAGACTGATTGAATTGACCAATTTAGACAATTCAGTTGGAATGCCATGATACTGCTTTGTACATTCTGGGTTTACGTGCAGTAGCTGAATGGATACTAGCCCTACTTATTTCATCGCTTCTTCTGTTTTAAAGGTGGGAAGAAGAACGCTATCCTGAAGGTATTAAATGGAAATTCTTGGAGCACAAGGGTCCTGTGTTTGCTCCTGCATATGAACCGTTGCCTGAAAATGTCAAATTCTACTATGATGGTAAGTTATAAAAACTGGTGCTTTGTACAAGAGCAGAATTAACAGCTGTTTAGTATCCTAAAGCTATGAGTTTTCATGGGCAGAAATGGTAATAGTTTTGCTTGCAACTGATCAGTATTTATCTGGATTTTATACTAGTAAGGAAAGGGACCAAAATTGCATTATAGGTTGTGTTGTTTTGGGGCTAATATAGGTGCATTACAGAAGAAAACATAGATACCAGGATTTTAAGTTCTATCATGCTCATTATATACTTCAGCCAAATTGGTGGCACGGTGGTTAAAGTGCAGTATTGCAGGCAAACTCTCCACAGCCTGGAGTTTGATCCTGATGGGGCTCAAGGTTGACTCATCCTTCCATCCTTCCGAGGTTGGTAAAATGAGAACCCAGATTGCTGGAGGCAGTATGCCAAATAATGCTTCTGTATTGTAAACCACTCAGAGAGTGCTATAAAGCACTATAAGATGGTATATAAGCCTAAAATATTAATGTTATTTTATTACTATTGTTAAATTAGTTTATACATCAAGTTACTGTGGATAGGGAGGAAAGAAATAGTTGAATGTCTTGCATTTTCTTTTACTTTCCATGTACTTCATTAAATCATTTTTATTGTAGCTTCTAACATACATTGCTGCTTCTGAAACTGTCAGCATTGTAGTAAATCTTTTAGCTGTTTTTAATCACAACTTACTGTTATGGATACATTACAATAATGTGCTCTTGCTGCATTATAAAGCCCCCACTCCCAATCATTGTTGAATTAAGAGTCAATCCCACCTCTCCCTCACGCAACCTGTTCCTCCCTCGCCATCTTTTAACTATATTTTACCTTGATTGGGATTTTTATTTTTATTCTTTTAATGATATTTATGTGTTAAGATTTTAATGTTTTAGTGCTGGAAACCGCCTAGAGTCATTTGCTATAAGATGGGCAACAAATAAATCCAATAAATAAATATTTTGTTAATAATTAAAGTGCAAGGGTTTTCCCCCCCCAAAATATACTTCATTTAATCTATAGACTGATAAAAAGGTATTTAATAAATTCTCATTTGATTTGAAGAATTGTCATTCATTTGCTGTTTCTTTATATGCTGAAAAGGAGTTTTAAAGTTGTGCTTTCTGTGTGTAGGCCCTAGCAAATATTATGGAATCATGACAAATATACTAGCATACAACAGTAGTATGCTAATCAAAGCCTTTTCCAGCTGATTGTTCAGTGACATAATCTACCCATTTGTGTGCTCATTCTGCTTCTGCAAGTGGGATATAGATGACAGCTGTTAAATAAATTAATTTACTAAAAAGGGAAGCTTGTATTGGAGTTGCTTATATGCAGAGGCATTCTGTGTTAGCTGAAAACGGAGTAAGTTGCTTTTCTGGAAATGTTTATATTGCCAAACCTTGTATGAGGTATTGTGGTCTTCTAGACCAGGGGTCTCCAGCCTTGGCAACTTTAAGACTTGTGGACTTCGACTCCCAGAATTCCTCAGCCAGCTAAGGACAGGCTGAGATGTTGGCTTCAATTTGACTGTCAAGGCATAGTTGGCTGAGGAATTCTGGGAGTTGAAGTCCACAAGTCTTAAAGTTGCCAAGGTTGAAGACCCCTGTTCTAGACAAATCCATATGAAGATGCTAAATCCAGGAGGGTGTTGTTTGCCCAATACACTAACTACTGCCCACTTTTTCCCCTCAATATTTGAGATACGAGAATCTCTATTTAGGGTCTATAAATCCTTTCTTCTTCTGTTGCTTAAGGGGAATCTGAAAGTTGCAACTGCTTCATGGGCAAGGTAGTGTTTTACCTGTATCCTGTTGTAGTCCATGGGCAAAGCTTTTGACTGTTCTTTATAGACGTGTTCAATATTGTTATTGGAGGTGAAAGCTGGGGACAGTATTCTTATACACACAGAAATACATTTTCAACCAAAGATCAAATTATATTATAGAAAAATGGATGTGTTTAATGCCTGTAATTTGGTTTGTTACTCTTGAGATTGTAAACAATATTTTTAAACTTCAAATTAACACTGTTCTTCTTGAAGGCATGTTAATTATGGAGCCCTGGTTTGGTTTGATTTGGCATTTGTTTTTCTAGCAGTTATATTATTTTATGTGTTGCTTTTTTATTTGTAAAAAAGCAACACAAAAAATTTGTATTTGGAGTTGTTTAGGAATTAGATGGTCTAAAAATAAAACAATGGGTAGAGGTTGATAGACAGATAAGTAAGATTATTGAATGACATTTTGATCAAACGTGAAAACTCTTAGCTGCTTCCCCTAGTATGACTAATATTCTTAAAACTCACAGAGGAAATTCTTCCTTCCTCTTGCCAAACATACTCAAGAGGATTTAATGTTTGTTTTTTCCCTGTATCATAATTGCACAAATAGAAGTACTATACTTGTAACTGGATTTCTCAAGAATCACATCTTTTAAAATGACCTAAAATATTTGTTTTTCTTTGCTACTGCTATGGAATGCTGACAAATTATGCAGCCTGAGTCTGTGTTAGGCGTATTGGATAGGAAAAAGAGACATCAGATGTACTGTATATCAGTGCAACAATTGCTTCCCTTTTAGCTGTGGAAGAAGCTGCCTTTCCACATATTTATGATTTCATGTTGAGCTTCTATTATATTGTTGAGCGAAGGGGAAATGGGTCAGTAACAAATTGCTGAAATGTGAAGAAGATAGCACTTTAACGACACGTCCTTCGCTGGTAAATTTAGAAATACCAATATTTTTCTGTTCGACACACCCTTAGTCCAATGTGATGCTCTAAAGTAGTTATGAATGTGCAACCCATTTCTTCAAGTTTTTCTGGAATGAAAGCATTCCGATAATCCAGAATAGGAAAAAGCCGATAAATTTCCTTATGTTTTGGATTGTATCTTCCATTATTTATGTTTTTATTTATTACATTTATATGGCATCCATCTCACTATATACACTGCTCAAAAAAATAAAGGGAATACAAAAATAAGACATTCTAGATCTGAATGAATGAAATATTCTTATTAAATACTTTGTTCATTACATAGTTGAATGTGCTGACAACAAAATCACACAAAAATTATCAGTGGAAATCAAATCTAGCAACCCATGGAGGTCTAGATTTGGACTTACACTCAAAATTAAAGTGGAAAAAAACACTACAGGCTGATCCAACTTTGATGTAATGTCCTTAAAACAAGTCAAAATGAGGCTCAGTAGTGTGTGTGGCCTCCATGTCCCTGTATGACCTCCCTAAAACGCCTGGGCCTGCTCCTGATGAGGTGGCAGATGGTCTCCTGAGGGATCTCCTCCCACACCTGGACTAAAGCATCCCCCAACTCCTGAACAGTCTGTGGTGCAACGTGGCATTGGTGGATAGAGCAAGACATGATGTCCCAGATGTGCTCAATTGGATTCAGGTCTGGGGAACGGGCAGGCCAGTCCATACCATCAATGCCTTCGTCTTGCAGGAACTGCTGACACACTCCAGCCACATGAGGTCTAGCATTGTCGTGCATTAGGAGGAACCCAGGGCCAACCGCACCAGCATATGGTCTCACAAGGGATCTGAGGATCTCATCTCGGTATCTAATGGCAGTCAGGCTACCTCTGGAGAACACATGGAGGGCTGTGCGTCCCCCTAAAGAAATGCCACCCCACACCATTACTGGCCCACTGCCAAACTGGTCATGCTGGAGGATGTTGCAGGCAGCAGAACGTTCTCCACGGCGTCTCCAGACCCTGTCACGTCTGTCACATGTGTTCAGTGTGAACCTGCTTTCATCTGTGAAGAGCACAGGATGCCAGTGGCGAATTTGCCAATCTTGGTGTTCTCTGGCAAATGCCAAACGTCCTGCATGGTGTTGGGCTGTAAGCACAACCCCCACCTGTGGTCGTTGGGCCCTCATACAACCCTCATGGAGTCTGTTTCTGACCATTTGAGCAGCCACATGCACATTTGTGGCCCGCTGGAGGTCATTTTGCAGGGCTCTGGCAGTGCTCCTCTTGTCCCTCCTTGCACAAAGGTCCTGATGCTGGGTTGTTGCCCTCCTACGGCCTCCTCCACGTCTCCTGATGTACTGGCCTGTCTCCTGGTAGCGCCTCCTTGCTCTGGACACTACGCTGACAGACACAGCAAACCTTGCCACAGCTCGCATTGATGTGCCATCCTGGATGAGCTGCACTACCTGAGCCACTTGTGTGGGTTGTAGACTCCGTCTCATGCTACCACTAGAGTGAAAGCACCGCCAGCATTCAAAAGTGACCAAACCATCAGCCAAAAAGCATAGGAACTGAGAAGTGATCTGTGGTCACCACCTCCAGAACCACTCCTTTATTGGGGATGTCTTGCTAACTGCCTATGCTTTCCACCTGTTGTCTATTCCATTTGCACAACAGCATGGGAAATTGATTGTCAATCAGTGTTGCTACCTAAGTGGACAGTTTGATTTCACAGAAGTATGAATGACTTGGAGTTACACTGTGTTGTTTAAGTGTTCCCTTTATTTTTTTGAGCAGTGTACAAAGTGACTGGGCTCCTTACAATGCATTAAATAATAAATATAAAAAAATTAACATTAACAAGGATTAGAAAAAACTAAGAATCAAGAACACAAGTGGTATTAAGCTGTTAAAAGTAGAGATGGGAAATTTGTACTTTCAGCCTTGCCTTAATGTAGCCTTACAATAATTCATCTATTTGTGTATTTTGTCTGGCTTCTCTTGCAAATCTGAAAACCAAACTTTCCACTGCTACTTTTAACTGCTTGATTTGTTATGGCGGGTCCCTCCTAAGTTTCTTTCTCTGGTTATTAACCCACTGGGGGCTCCTACCTCTCTCATCTGATTGTTTCCTAGGCAGCATCTTTCTCCTCTTCCCCAAGGTCATCTAAACGTTCCATTACAGTTATCTTCTCGACAGCCTTCTTTTAAAAAAAAAGGAAGGTTGAAGATTGATAATTATTCAGTACAGGGTGGTCAAGGGACTACATCTCTTTCATGACCAATGAAATCAACCCCCCTTTCCAAGAATGCATTAACTACTACTTTCAACTACCTCCAATGCCACCTTGCTGGCTTTCACCAGACCAGCAGGGCAGTGATGCAACTAATCTCACAAAGAATCCTGTGCACTTCAAATCAGTCCCAGATTCACCTTACAAGATGTTTTTTCTCAGCTGGACTTGACTAACTAGTGACCCATTCTGAGGTCACACTGACCATTATAGAATTGAGAATAAAACTGAAGACATTTGTCATTTTCCTTTGAAACAAAATAGCTTGTTTGCAGGGTGGTTATTCTGGTTTGCACTATATATCTGCAGTAAGTGGTAAGTGTGCCTCTGGATCTTTTCTAAGAGTAGCTGGAAGGTATCTTTAGAATGTTGCCTTGTTATTTCATGCATAGTTTTCTTTGTTCAGGCAAAGTCATGAAACTCCGTCCCAAAGCAGAAGAGGTTGCAACTTTTTTTGCAAAAATGCTTGATCATGAGTACACTACAAAGGATATCTTCAGGAAAAACTTCTTTAAAGACTGGAGAAAGGTATATCTTTTATGGAAAGATAGCTTGTAGTGGGCTTCTTCATCCTTTTAAAAATACAAACATTTACATACGTCTGTTTCTGGGTAGATGAAAAATTCTCTCTAATGTAGGGGTCCCCAACTGCCAGGCCACAGTCCACTACCAGACTTTGAGCCATTCGGAACAGGGCCATGGAAGTGGCAGGCTAGAGTGTACCCCGTTTCCGCGAGCAGTGGGCATACGCACACACACTTCATTTGCCCGCCAGTCATGCAGAACCATCACCCCATGCTACCTGCCAATCCACAAAGCTGGAAAGTTTGGGGAACTCTGCAACCTTAAAGCATGGGATTCAGCTTCATTTATATGTTTATAAAACCTAAATTTATAAAAACGAAGACATTGGTTTCTCATGTCTTTTAGTAGTGCAGTTCATTTTAGAAGGAATCTAGGTGCTTGTAACTCGACAGCAAAATTGTTTCTTGTTCACTTTCTTAAAAAGTCTTGGCATTAAAATCGATTTCTAGAAATGTCCAAAGAGATGTTGGTATTTATTATTACATGCCTACTTCTACTTTGACATCCAAGTCTGAGTTTAGCGCATGGAGGAAAGACAGGATATAAATATAATAACTACATTCATTTATTTTATTTATCTCATTTCACTAATAATACTTTATTCTGTTTTTCTTCTTGCAGGAAATGACTCCAGAAGAAAAGGGAACTATCACCAGCCTTAGCAAATGTGACTTTGGTCATATGAGTCAGTATTTCAAGGCCCAAACAGAAGCTAGAAAGCAAATGACCAAGGAAGAAAAGCAGGTATCTTTACTTAGGATTAGGCTCTAAAAATGTTACCTTTGAAAAATAGAAGTCATAATTGGAATGCTCTCCAGCTATACTGCATGTTCTCAGTATATCAGATTTGTCAAGTATCTTTATTTCCATTACACTTAGTTCTTACTGGGGTTGCAAAACTACACCAGATAGAAATCATGCACAATTTGGGGGTCCTTGACTCACAGGTGTGGCTTAAGGAATAGATGGTAATTGTGGCCCTAAATGCTTTTGTACATATTGGTCTTATGACTTGTTTTGGACCAGAAAACATTACATTGCTTATGCTTTACTGTAATGCACTCTACATGGAGCTGTCCTTAAAGATCACTTGGCTATAACATGGTGGCACAGCCAACTGTGGGCATACCACAAGATGCCTATGTTACATTATGATTCCATGAATTTCCCAGCACTCAATACGTTTCTGGATGCATTTGAAGGTGCTTTTTAATAACTTGAAAGGCTATTCATGTCATTGATCCAGGTTATTTGTAAGACTACCTTTCCCCAGGTGTTTCTGTACAGCCCATTAGACCTAGAAGGGTAGGAATACTTTTAGACTATCTTTAAGCATGCCATCTAGGAAGACCCGAGAGGTAGGCCTTCTCCTTGGCATCATCTGCTCTTTGGAATAACATATCCCCTGAGATTCATTTGGTCCTGACCTTGTGGACATTTCATAAATCCTTGAAGATCTGGGTGTTTCCCCAGGTATAGAGCCCGTTGGTTGGATAAGCCCATCGTAGTTTTGTCTGACATGATTATGTGTTTATCTTCATGTGCTACTGCACTGTTATTTTGATGTTTTTTTGTATTTATCTTTTTTTATCTGCTCATTTTTATCCAGTATTTGCTGTCCAGAGTTATGGTTGCAAAATTGATACTTTAAAACATTGAAGCAAAATCCTTTCATTCTCTTTGTACATGATCGCAGAAAGGAAGGGATATGGCTAAGTGGAATACAAAATATATCAGACTAAACTGCCATCTTGTAATAACCATTATTTGATATCTCTGAATTAGGTCTGTCTTACATTCCTATTTATTTCTCTTTTTTAAAAAAACATCTGAAATAGCTGGTTCTGTATTATATATAAAAGGACATGCCCTTCTTCCGGATTGATGTTTGAATCATGGATTATCTTGTTAGAAATAAAAGCTGGGATACTAAGGAGGGTCAAGGATAAAGATATGGGTCTTTACTTGTAGCTTGAACATTTTTTCAGAACCACCTGTAATATACTATACACAGCACTTGTTTTGAACAAGGAAACCTGAAACTTTCTGGGGGGGGGGTGAGGAAAATTTATCTTACATGATGCTAAATTTATGTTCATTCAGGTTTAGCCCTAGCTTAGTATATGAGGGCACACTATGAGATACTTATCTGAATAAACTCACTGAATTAAATGGGATTCACTTATTAGTAGATCTGTATGCAATTTCCTGAGGTAAGTGTACATACTATGGTTATAAAGCACGCAAATGATCTTGCTGATCAACTTTCAAGCCCTTTCCACGATGTGTAGACCAAATGGCATTCTTGTATTACACATGCACTAAGAGTCTGTGTCTGGGAATCTGCTAAACAACAGCTAATTTATTTGATCTGAATAATTGATTTAGCAGCTTTGGATATGTTATAATTTTTTATCTTTGTGTGCATGTGTCCCTCTAGAAAATTAAAGAAGAGAATGAGCGGTTATTAAAAGAATATGGTTATTGTGTCATGGATAACCATAAGGAAAGAATTGCCAACTTTAAGATTGAGCCTCCAGGTCTCTTCAGAGGACGTGGCAATCACCCCAAAATGGGCATGCTGAAGCGACGAATAATGCCTGAAGACATCATCATCAATTGTAGCAAGTGAGGATGGGAGACTTTGCCTATTTCTAGGAAAGGGTTCTGATTAGAGAGAACAGCAGCTAAATACAAGCTTTTAACTCAAACAGCATCTCTCTCAAGTTAGTTCTATCCATAACCTCCCCTAGAAGAAGAAAAAACAGTGCATTTTAGCAGATAATGCCAATTGTTGAAAGTACATAAAACAATATCATGTCATTAGTATGTGAGGATAGTTTTACTTTAATATAGTGTGAAATGTTAAAGTAACTCATACTCAGGTCAGCTTTGTAATTTATAAATGGCAACTGCAAGTGGTTATATTTACATCTTATTATTTTTGTAGAAAATTTAGATCAGCTTATATTTGGATATATAGGATGTCTTATTCTAATCTGCAATCTGCCTTTCTCCTGTTATATATACAGCTTATAAAATAAAATATATAAAAAATAACAAAATCCATACAAATTAAGATTAAGCACTAAAGTCAAGACAAAGTTAGTATAATAGGTCAAAAGAGATGCAGTTTTGCCGCCTTCCTAAATTCTGAGAAAGTGGGAGCCAGTCATATTTTCCTGGAATAAGACATTTTTCATAGGCCATATAGATAGCATGACAAGCCCAAATGAAGTTCCTAATTTAGTACAAAAATGAGATTATTTCATACTCAAGATACTGACAGGGGATCTGTTGGAAACTTTTTGATTCAAGACCTAATGCAGTCTAAGGCCAAAGAACAGCCTGGCCACATTGCAGAAAAACTTAAGAATCATTGGTAGGTTTATGTCTGAGGAGCAGCATTTTATCCATAATTTAACAAATTTAAAGGATTGGAGGATAGGAATGGGTAGCATGGAGCAAAATGAGGCGTAACAGGATAAAATCATTGTGAACCTGACTTCAACATCATTTGACTTACTGTCTTCAAAACATAGTGTAATACACTATTTACAATCTGAGGGTTTTTAAAATTTACAATTCAATCTTATTGAGGTAAATAATGGCAGCCAGGCAAAGAAGGACAGAGTGATTATCCCTCCTTATTCTTTTTTAATGGCTTCTGTGCTGCCTTGGAGAAAATGAATTCCTAGTTAGACTAATTTTGGAGAATTTGGCCATAAAACTCTGCTAATTAGCTTAAAATTGTGACTCATTGGCAACGTTCATATTGTTTGTTGAATAAGTTATAATGACCAGAGTTATTTAAGAGTGTTGCCATAATGGATAAATCCACATGTCACACTAAAGCAAAAATAAATTGACCGCATTAGTGGCTTTGTCCTATTTATAATCCCTGCCTGTCAGTTTTGCTCAGAATAAATTTTCATTTATAAAATATATTCACGAATGTATAAAATTGAGATTCACATGTTCAAGCTTGTCTGATTATTAAGCATTAAATTCTACAAATACCAACTGTTTTTCATCTAGAGTTGCAAGTGGCGACCAAACAACTTGAATGAAATACTCATAACAATAATATTAACAATCAGACAACACTATCTTCCCATCCTTGGGAAGGACTCTATAAGTAGATAAAAATGTCAACTGTGTGAATACCCATAATAATAAGCCAGTTTGGTCTAATGATTAAGGCACCAGGCTGGAAGCCAAGAGAGGTGAGTTTTAAACCCCCTTAGGCATTAAAACTAGCTAGGTGACTTTGGACCAGTCACTTTCTCAGCCCAATCCACCTCACAGGATTGTTGGTTGTGGGGAAAATAGGAGGAGGGAGTATTAGGTATGTTTACCACTTACTGATAATAAAAGCAGGATATAAATAAAAGTATAGTGTATCATACTGTAGTAGTTTGTTATGATGCCACTGTTCATTGCCTGAACTTGCTGAATAATTAATTTGCTTGCTGATATTCTATGGCCTCTTTATGATTTTTCCTATTTTGAAACGTCTCTGTTTTTCCTGCCTAGGGATTCTAAAGTCCCTCCACCTCCCCCTGGCCATAAATGGAAAGAGGTTCGACATGATAACAAAGTAACCTGGCTAGTATCATGGACTGAGAATATTCAAGGATCTATTAAATACATCATGTTGAATCCCAGCTCTAGAATCAAGGTACTTTTTGTGTCTAGACTACTTCTGTTATGACTAATGCTTTTGGGAAAGATATATTGGATATATGAAAATCCAAACCAGAATTTTTTATTTTAAAAAAATAAGATAAATTATTATATCTTAAATGGGTTTTTAAATTGCTTTTCCCTTCTGAAATCAGAAGAATCAATCAAAAAGTAGGTCATATCTGATCAAAATAAATGAAAAAATGTATCCCCTCTTCAAATAAGAGCTATGCTACACTTGAGCCAACCCATCATGTTCCCTGCAATTTTCTTGGCAGGGTGAGAAAGACTGGCAGAAATACGAGACAGCTCGGAGATTGAAGAAATGTGTAGATAGGATTCGAAATCAATATCGAGAAGACTGGAAATCCAAAGAGATGAAAGTGCGGCAAAGGGCTGTGGCACTGTACTTCATTGATAAAGTGAGATTCTGACTTTTACATATTCTTTTTGGTGTAAATAAATAATACTCCTGCATACAACTTTGTACAACTTTGGCATGAATGAGGTATAGCAGGTACTGGAGAAATCTTTGAAGAATGATAGGAAGGAATTTAAATGGACAAGAACTATTATCTTGTAAAGCTGGGTTAGGCAACTACCTCCAACAAATCAACTGTTCAGATAAAGCTCTGCCTACTTTCCTAAAATGTATACACAAATAAGCTTTTCATTTTGCAGGGTCAGAGTGTATAGAATATTCTGCAATAACAGCTCTAGTATTAAATAATTAAAAACAGAGTAGAAGCATCTCTGCTAATAACCCTATGTTGTGCTTATCTTATTTACACCAGTTTCCATGTCAGTTTATTTAAAGTGCATATACCCATGAATCCAAGTAGTCTAAATATACATAACTTTTAAATTAGTGTAATCCTTCTAGTGAATTTGCAGATACCTCAACTCTCACTCTGGAATTTCAAATAAATAGCTTCTTAGCTTAGTGACGTAACCTGCTGATCAATTACATGATTAAATGTTTTCATCTGTTTAAACTGACCTGTTTTTTTCTGTCTCACTATTCAATATTTGTAGCTTGCTCTGAGAGCTGGCAATGAGAAAGAAGAAGGGGAGACCGCTGACACAGTGGGCTGTTGCTCCCTCCGTGTGGAACATATTAATTTGCATCCAGAATTAGATGGTCAGGAATATGTAGTAGAATTTGATTTCCTTGGAAAAGACTCCATAAGATACTATAACAAAGTACCTGTTGAGAAAAGGGTAAGGGACTCTACTAAAGAAATCCATAGACTGGTAGCTTTATCTTTTAATTCTCAATCTTTTGATTGCTCTTCATGTAATCATTCATCTTGATTGGGTCAATGTTTCATCAAATTCAGCATGCACAGTGCTATAGCTTTATGTTTTGGGAAATCCTCAAAAAGTCGCAGAGGCAGGGTCACCTTGCTGTGCTTTGTCTCCAGCAAATGCTGATAATAAAATCCACATTTTTTTCTATTGAGTATGAATAATAATTGTTTTGCAATCATAATCACTAACATTCTTCAATATTCCTACCTTTACTATTTTTAATTCCAGAAACACATTCCTTATGTTTACCCTCTATTTTATTACCAAGTAAACAAATGCTTTCATCTGTTCTCATAGAAAATGGGCTCCAATACATTGATTCACCTTAAGAATTCTGTTGTGAATCTTGGAAATGTATTAACAGTGAAATAATAGACTGCTAACTTTAGTTACATATAGCAAACATAACTAGCACATTGCTGATGAAGGGACTCGAGTAAAAATCCAATGTCACACATTTGGTTATGGTTTGCATAGCCATGGTTGGTTGTACACATTAGGCCATAAATCTTGGTTTACAAACCACAATACCTGAGTACTTGCAGCCAAAACCATTCATAGTTTAGCAAACTGTGTGTTTCCAGTAACTATATTAATATGGTATCAGGTAATATAGTGAGGAAAGTAACATGCCAGCAGACTCTTCTGTTTCTTTGCTTTATGTTTCTGTCCTTTGTAATCACTTTTAGGTATTTAAGAATCTTCAGTTATTTATGGAAAATAAGCAGCCAGAAGATGATTTATTTGATAGGCTTAATGTGAGTATCTTCTTTTCCTACATTTGAAAGCTGTATGAACTACTCTAAACTTGAAAGGATGTTTCTTAAACTTTCTTCTGTGAAATTAATACCTATTGGCTGTTCTGGTATGGCTTGGAATAAGAGAGCCAGTTTGATCTAGTGGTTAAGGCACCATGCTAGAAACCAGGAGACTATGATTTCTAGTCTTGCCTTAGGCATGAAAGCCAGCTGGATGACTTTGGCCCAATCACCCTCTTTCAGCTCAACTTCACTCCACAGGGTTGTTGTTGCGGGGAAAATAGGAGGAGGAAGAAGTAATAAATAGGTTCACCACTTTCAATTATTTATAAAAAATGATGAAGTCAAGATTTAAAGAAAAGGCTTTTAAAAGACATAATTTTGCATTTAGTAAAAAATACAGAGCTGTCCCAGAATACATTAGCATCATATTGTTAGCAGCCAAGTTTTGATTTTACAAAACATTGGCAAATGAAAGTACATCTGTCATTGGATCTATGGTATTCTAAAATACAGGTAATTTAGAAGAGAATAGTTGTAGCTCAGGGTTGTAGCTCGGGGTTGAACTGTGGGTTCTTGGTGTTTTCTGGGTTTGTTATTTTCTTGCAGACGTTTCCTTACCAAACTAGGCAACATCAACACTGATGATGTTACTTAGTTTGATAATGACGTGTGCAAGAAAACAACTGAGCTCAGATAACACAAAAGTCCATACAGGTAATTTGTCTGCACTGGGAGAAAAAAATAACAATGTGAGAAAAGCCATATATATACAAAAATAAATATATGAATATAAATATTTGTTCGGGTATTTTCCCACGTCATTGTAGTTGTTCTTTTAAAGCTGTAGCAACGTTTCAGCAGAATCTCATCTGCCATCATCAGGCTTCTGTATTGTGTTCGTCTGTGAGTCAGACTTTCACAGCCGTTTCAGTTTTAAATTATATATATATACACATATACACATACATACACACACACACACACACACACATACATACATGTAGGTCTAGGTGTGTAAGCAGTGCAAGCACGAAGCCGAAAGCACCAGCCTGAGGATGGCGAGTGGACCTCGCCGAAACGTCGCCAAGATACTCTTAATCTTCCACGGGAAAAGACCTGAACACACCTAGACCTACATACCAGTACCCGTAAAAATCTACAAAAACAAATATATATACATATACATACACATACACATATACATACATACACACACACACATATATGGAATTTATTTTACTCATGAAAAATTACTTTGTTTTAACTCCTTTAAATATCTTTCCAAAAATGAAAACCATAGTATTTATATCTTTTTAACTGTTTTATAATACATTTAAATTTAAATAATAAAATAGAAGATGCAGAAGTATAGAAAAGTATAGAATTATCTTTCCTTTAAATATAGATATAGATATGTACGTATATATATTTTCATATTCATTTCCACCATCCTTTTAGGTTTAATAGCCATCATGTTAATATCACACAGACATAATCCAACTGTGTAGAAAGGAAGCAAAAGTTCTGCATCCTATGAAGGAGAATGCAGGCCATTGTATAAATGCCTCAACTTTATAGCTCCTCTTGTTTAGGATACAGTTACTGTTTCTATCATTTGCACTTCCAGTTAAATTTGTTGATATTCTTTACCATTTGTTGAATTGGTATATAATTTTTTCCTCCTTTCCCCTCCCATCTTCCAGACTAGCATTTTAAATAAGCATCTTCAAGATCTTATGGAAGGGCTGACAGCTAAGGTATTCCGAACATATAACGCCTCTATTACGCTACAGCAACAACTGAAGGAACTCACAACCCGTAAGTATCTTTGAAATAGCCTGTCTCATCTTTTCTATGTTCATTGCAATACACCATGTTTTTTAGAGTAGTAACTCAAGATATAGTAACTTCTGGCCTTCATAATTAGGGGTGCAACTGCTATATATGCTCAAGATTTCCTGACATGTTTCAGTTGTAGGAAGTTAGCTTTTCATAAATGTTCATTTTGCTATATGGAAAGAAATGTGTTTCTTTTGAATTCTTCCAGCGGATGATAACATCCCAGCAAAGATCCTGTCTTACAATCGTGCCAACAGAGCTGTTGCTATTCTTTGCAACCACCAGAGGGCACCTCCAAAAACCTTTGAAAAATCCATGATGAATTTACAGACCAAGGTAATTTGCCTGCTAGGTTTTTAGTTAAAAGATAAACTCAGGTTAATTAACTATATAAAGTCTCTTTTTTGTCATACTTTTCAAAGTACTCCACAAATTGCTTGGGTTTGTTTTTACAGACTTCCCGTGTATTCTATTTGGTTTTGTTAGAGAAATACCTTCTTGTGTGCAAGATAATCATATCAAGCCATTCTAAAATCTGTGTTATCTCTGTGCCTGTAAATTTTAACTCTGAAAAACAGTAATAAGAGATACTTAGTAAAAGCAAAACAATTAAGTATACATGAAGAATATGTGTAGTGATTAAGGTGTTGAATTAGAAGCAGGAAAACTCAGTCCTGATGACTTTTAGGCCAGCCACTCTCTTTCAGCCCTAGATAGGGATTTTTTTTAAAAACCCTACCAACCTGTATTGTACCACCACCAGGTCTTTCGAATGCACTGCATGAAAGTTAAGGGACTTTTTAAAGGGCCATTTATAACACATGTTTTTGGGGTTATGGGGTTTAATCATTTTAATTATTAATTTTATTAATTGTTTAACTGATCATTTTAATTGTTTTAATGTGTACTGGGACAGCTTGGTAACTGATACTTTTTTAAAACATTTTTTGCAAGTGCAGTGTTTGCTTTTGTCAGATCAACTGAGTATTGATTCATTGTTTGATAGAAATTGATCAACCAAATTGTTGCCAGAGTCTGACATTGTGGACTAAGAGAGAGAAAGCCCCAGCTGTCTTTCATGCATATGGCAGGACTAAAACTTACAACCTCCTGGTTTCTAGCCTGGTTCTTTAACTATTAAAACAATTATGTAGTGTAATGAGCTTCATAAGACTTAGAATCTTGCTATCCATGTTTTCTGTTGTAGTGAACCTGTATAAGCCCCCCCCCCCCCAAACACAGCCTATTGCAACCTATTGGCCCTCCTCCACACTTCAAAACCATTATCAGTTCTGCCCATGAAAAATTATAGTTTATCCACTTTAGGTTACTGTAAACAGCTATTAATTTTGCTCTTCCCCAAACATCTTTTTAAATTTCAAAAGTAAAACGATAAATATTAGGCTTTATTATTCATGAGATATAAGATGAGAGTTTTATTTTCTTCTAGATATTCTGTTATAGAATCTGAAAGAGTCTTTAAAAAATAGTTGTCTAAATGGTTCAGCTTTTCAATTGTAATTCCTTCCCATATCTATACTATGATTTATCTGTTTGCATGATCTAGATTGATGCCAAGAAGGAACAGTTGGCCGATGCCAAGAGAGAACTAAAAAGCGCCAAAGCTGATGCCAAGATCCGAAGGGATGAGAAGTCTAAAAAGTAAGTGACTGCTCTGACGTAGCCACATTTGCATGCATTTCCTTATTTCATATTGGCCCCAAATGAAAGATCTTTTAAAATGTCTGTTATCACAATAATTTGGAAGACCATTTCACCAAATAATGAGAAATCAAATCAAATCTTGCATTTTTATTCCTTGGGTAATAGAGGAAATTTAAAAGACATAACTTTTGGGAGATGCTACAGAGTTTTATCTCCTTCATCTGGCCACCCTAGTCATGTGAAGAGCTTATTAAAGGCAGTTTTGTCTTCATATGTGTAAAGGGCAATATTGTTAAACAATGGGATGTGACAGTGTTAACCTGCTAGAGAATAGGTTTTCTTCTTTTCTTATATGGTTCTGATTGCAAGGGCAGTGAACATCCACATAGGACTGTTTAAATAAATACTTGGACACCCAAGAGTCACAAGACATGAAAAGATATCACTGGCAACTGTCCTGCACATTTGAGCCAGCAGAATTTCAGCCTTCTTATACCAAGTAGAAAGATGCCCAGGTATGTCTGGAAAGATGCTTCAACTTTAGGGTATACTAGACATCTGACTTGTTGAATCATTGTTTTAGCTATATTTCCTTACCTATACAGAAATAGAATGACCACAGGTGGGCAAAATAAGTGAGAGTGGAAGCTACTTCCAACTTCCTGACAGCTTGATCACTACTGACCATTCTCTGGTGGCTGATGGCACGACCAGTCTACCCAGGCTATGGAGGGCTAGGGTAGAACTAGTCTATTAAATCTTTAAACAGTAACATGGTAATGCAGCAGCAATGAAGTGGCCACAAATTTGTCAAATTTCAATCCCACAAATCATGGCTCCTGGATTTTGGGCACAGAACTGTGAGTAGCCCATTTGAGGTCCCTTGGTTCAAAACCTGCTGCCCTTTGATGCACTATTTCACCCAATTAAAGGTTATAGATATCAATTTTTAGTAATATATAAATTTCTCATGACTCCAAAAAGTCAGTAATTTACACATTGCTGTCCCTGGGCAGATTTGTACTGTTCAAAAACATACATCAGAATTGGCAAATCAGATTATGAGCCACATTCTATCTATAGCAAGATAATTCATTATTCCTTTCTTTAGCTATCATATTAAGATGAGGTATACATATTCTCGGTTAAAAAAATCTATACAAAAGAACAAATTAAAGCAATAGCCATGGTCTTCCTAGTGTCTGCAGTTTAATCATCCTGCAAAAGCTGGAAGTTTCATATGGACATTTGTTGGAATGAAGCCCAGAAGGCCTTTGATTCAATTTCCTTCCCAACCAAGGTCTTTCTGGGCCACTTTGGATAAGTCATCTTATCTGTCCACTGTATCTATATAAGGGACCTAGTCCTGACATACCGTAATCTCTGATTTGGAGACCATGGGAAATAAGCATTGTTAAGGATTTTACACTTCCAGTACAGGGAAATGACGATAATCCCTTCTCAGTTCTGCATAAGAGTAAATTTAACATGTGTTTAGCAGTCCACTTAAGGATTTTTTTTGCTGCATGGATACCTAATTCCTTTTAATGAGATATATTTCAAAATGTTACCTAATGTTCTCACGTGTTTTATTTATTACTTCTCATCTTTTACAGGACTGTGGAAACTAAGAAGAAGGCTGTACAAAGGGTGGAGGAACAGCTGATGAAGCTGGAAGTTCAAGCAACAGACCGAGAGGAAAACAAGCAAATAGCCTTGGGTACCTCCAAACTAAATTATCTGGATCCTAGAATTTCTGTTGCTTGGTAAGTTCTTGTTTGAGAAAGGAAGAGAATATTTTGAAGTAAATTAGGCTTACGTTTCGTGGGTTGGCAAGTCCTTGTTTGCTTTTGTTCATATTTGGCTTTCCAAGACAGTTCTGTTAAGCTTGGTACATTTCGCTTTTCTTGATTCATACAGCAGTTTCAAAAGGCTGATGCAGAATACAATTCAATCGGTATGAAACCTACATTTGGTAGGGGCAAAATAAGATTCTGGGAAGCAGAATTTGGGTGAACATTTTCTTGTATAGACAAAAGCAGCATGTTAAAGCAAAGAATTTTAGTTGGTGGGTTGTTTTTTATTGTGCCAAAATACTCAAAGAAGAAGTGCTCTACATCTAGTCAAAAATGGTGTATCAAACAAAATAGTATATCTTATTTGCACAAAAGAATGCCATTAAAAAGTGCCCTTAACTGTGGGAACCTTTTAAAATTCAAAATAACTTCAGGAGTCAAATAGGTGTATTTAGTTATTCTGGGGGGTGAGGGGAAGCTTCATATTGTGGTACAAAAAGAAAGTAACAATTGAATGATGCCCTTGGGGGCGGGTTTAGTCACAGAATAGATGATAACTCATATTTGATGCATCTGCTTATTCTTCTTCAAGCATTTTAGGTTGTGTACATCCTTAAAACTGAAAAAGAAGAAATAAGTTAACTATAAATAACATCAGTTATTAACTTATCATCACCCATTATGTAGTCCTTTCTGCTTCAAATTCTCTGCAAAAAGCAGGTTTTATCATTTTGACCTTGTGAGCAAGCAGTTTTAGAGCAAAGAAAGACATCTACTTAATGTCCTGCCCTCTTAAGATTCAGGGGAGGAGAGATGCAGCATGCTTTCTTAGGCAAATTCTACTTGGAGCAGACAATTCTGGCAGTAAGTAGGAAGTCTCTCCGACTAAAATGGCAGTAATGTAACATAAGGAGAAAAGCACAAACCTGGAAATACAGATTCTACTCAAATTAAATCAAGAGTAAGGAACAATATGAGTTGTAAATAATGCATGTTCTGAAGATTCAGGAAGCCACAGGCCATATAGGTATTACATGTTGAAGTCACACTGAGGTCTTGCTTTGACAATTCTTATGAATTTTTAAAAAGTGGAAAATGCTACATTGAGCACAAGGATAGCAATTTGGTCATACTTGCTTTCTAAATTTAATAGCCTTTTTTCCTCAGACTCCTGGTTTCTTGACTGCATTTGAACTAATTACGCATTATAAATTTCAGGGAAACAATACATTGATGTTTTAACCTTGGATGGTAACAATATATGCTAGTGTTTTGCAAAACACATTCAGAACTGTAGAATACCTTTCATAAAACACACGATTCAGAACTGTAGAATACTTTCCATCAGGACTGTGGATTGGCTGACTCAGATTACTTTCAAGATGGAATCACTATAGTTACTTTGAGATCAAGACATCATTTGTAGAAATGCAATACATCTATGTTTGCATATATATGAGGGTTACAATTTATTCTATACAGGATTATAAAATTTAAAAGCACAATTACAGTAGGTTAGGGATGGGCATAGATACTTCTACAGATATAGAAGTATTCTCTTGTGATCCACAGGTAAGTATGATGAGAGAGTTTAGCAACAAGTCATAAATTTGCCCATGTATATTTTAAATATTAGAGTTTCAAGCATAATTAGAAACTCAGTTAGAATGCCCATTTTACAGTGTTCCCTAAGATTTCTGGCAAGATTTTAAGAATTGGTACTAGACACGATCAAGTCACTTCATCATGTATAGTGTATATTATAGATTTGGAAAGTGTATCTCTGAAATGTTGATTTGTTGAGATTACAATACTTCTGTTTAATTGTCATCAATTATTTGATTTGTCTCTATTTACCCTCCCTCTCTTTTTCTCCCCCTCCCTTTCCAATTTTAAGGTGCAAGAAATTTGGAATACCGATAGAGAAAATATATAATAAAACTCAGCGAGAGAAATTTGCCTGGGCAATTGACATGGCAGATGAAGACTACGAGTTTTAATGTGATTTTAATGGGCTGGATTTTATGGAAGAAAGTAGCCTGATTTTAGGGAGATTGATAAACTGTGAGCCTTACTTGTTCTTTATATTGGGGGGCGGGGGGGTGTCAGAGGGGAAAGTGAGCGTCTGATGAAATACCCAACATCTTTGAGTAAAGATATGCCTGGAAATATTGTAGAGGAGCCAAGACAGTTGTCCTATGGACAACTTATTTAAATCTGTTTCAGAGACCTAAATTCTAGCTGTATGGTCGTGTTTATCTCTGGAGTACAGTAAAGACAAGTGAATGGAGGAATTTGTTAATGTTCTACCTGACAAATTTGCCATTACATTGAAGAACTTGGAAATCATTATCTACTGTATACAGAATCCAATGAGATATTGATATGTTTTTACAGTTAGGGTTTTGCAATAACTTCTATATTTTAATAGAAAATGGACTCCTTAATTTCTCCCCACCACTACCACCCTCATTAATTTAACACAACTGAAGCCCTTAGCACACTGGTTTTGGCCACAATGGTCCTGGAAACATCCTGTTTTCATTTTTACTTGTCACCATCATGGTAATGAAATCTAGAATAAAAAATGCAACATCTCTTCAAAGCAAAGCATGATGGGAATATCCTTCCTGACTTGAGTGTTACTTTTTTTGTTAATGTGAATTTTTAGTACTTTTAATTATTTTAAAATATTTAAACTTTTTTTTCTTCTTGATCTTAAAGATCATGTAGATTTGCAGAAGATAGGAGGGAAAGGACTGGGGAGGGCTAATGGATTATGAGTACAAACAAATTTGTGATGAAATGTATTCCCATCATACTTTGTTCTAAGTACATTATATATATATGTATAGATATATATATGAGAAATATCCACATTTGTGGGTTTTGTTTTGTTTTTTCCTATGGCAGATTTATTTTCTCCCCTCCTTTTTTTTTAATAAAAAAGCCTTTCTGCTCTCTTTTACTTGAAAGATTTTATTGTGTAAAAAGAACTTTCACAGGTCAATAAAATTTTGAGGGAAGTGAGCTTTGGTCCAGAAAAAAAAATTAAAAAAAATTAAGATTTAGGGCTTTTATTTTTTTTCTTTTGTAATTGTGTACAAAAAATAATAAAAAAAATAAAGCAGAATTTTAATGTGAACCCTTTTTTGCTATAATCCATTAGTTTTAGAAGCATTGTTAGCTTAGTGTGGTGCAAAGGCAAGTTTCCCACAGTCTCTCCTTGACAAGTATCTTCTATTTTTATCATGAATTCCCTTTTAATCAACTGTAGGTTATTTAAAATAAATTCCTACAACTTAACACAATGCCAGCATCCGTGTGTTCTTGTACCCAGAAGGCCACTGCTTGGCTGAAAACCAAGAGCTGCAAAATTCTTTGTGGAGAAGAGGTGTTCCCAAATGGATTATTCCCCAAAATTTGGGTCAAGACTAGAAGTGGAGGAGAAATTGGGTTAACTCATCTTTTTGTTTAAATTCTCTCAATTCCCTCTTAACCAAATAGTTTTCCTTCAGCATTTATATTTCTGTGAGTTTGGTGACGGTTTTCAAATTTTAAAAAGTGTGTATTAATTAAAAGTATCTTCAAAATACATTCTGAACTTAGGAAAATACTGTTTATTAGACATGCATACAAATGTTAGTGCTCTTTATGAACTGTTCAGAAATCGATGCCGAGAATGAGTTTCGTGCAAAAAGATGAGAAACTGAAAGTAACAGATTTGCTCATTTAGTTGAGTAGTCCAGTTCCCAATGGCTTTCAACATTACCTAGATTATAATTTTTGGGTTTTGTGTAGTGTTAGGCAGATAAGATTCTGCATAAATGGCAGAATTCTGCATGTTCGTAGCTTTTTACTTAGGTTTGTATCCACAGCTACAGTTGTTTTGGGGGTTAGAGAAGGGTATCTGTTCTTTGCCAGTTGAAAACCAAGAAAATGCCTTAAAAAGAAACTTCAAATGAACCCCTCTATAGCAACAGCAAAAGTGTTAAGGCTTATATACCGCCCCTTATAGCACTCTGGGCAGTTTGCAATGTGAGTATTATTTGCATATTATCCCAAACAATGTGGGCAGAGTTGTAGCAGCTCCATGGTCATATGATCAGATGCTTGGCAACTGGTTCATATGATGATTGCAGTGTCCTGGGATCATGTGGTCACCTTTTGTGATCTGACAAGAAAAGTCAATGGGAAAGCCAGATTCACTTAACAACCATGTTACTAACTTAACAACTGCAGTCATTTATTTAACAACTGACACAAAAAGATGTAAAATGGGGCAAAGTTCACAATTTGCTTAGCAACAGAAATTTTGGGTTCAAATTGTGGTTGTACGTCGAGGACTACCTTTACCAGCAAGATGGGACCACACTTATTTCAAGATGAACTTATTCCAAAGGGCAGATACTGCAACAGAGAAGGCAGATTTCCTGGGTCCCAATAAATGACACTGTTTAATTGAGACTTAGAGAATTCAAAGTCTGCCAGCACACACTGGACAGACTGAAACCAAGGAAGGTAAGCAATCTCTCAGCCTGGCCCTGTGCTATGTAAGATTTTACAGCTAATAACCAGCACCTTGAATCACACTCAGAAGCAGGCTGGCAACTAGTGCAGCTTGCAAAGCAAGTTTTCACATTGGCATACCAAGACATGTCCATAACTGCTTGTGTTACTACATTCTGGGCCAACTGAATCTCCCTGGTGTCTTGCAAGAGCAGTTTCGGGTACAATGTATTGCAGTAGCCAAATCTTAAGGTAACTAGGGCATGAGTGACTATCTGAAGGGCCTCCTAATCCAGAAAAGGATGCCACTGGCTCATTAGAGCCGAGCAAAGCCCCTTCTTGACTACAACTGCCACCTGTTTAAGAGTTGTGAGTCCAAAAGGCCTCCAAATAGCACACCACTTCTAAGGAACATCCAAAAATATGGATTGAAAATCTTCCGAAGCAAGAAATCCTAATTTCCACAGATACTTCATCTTGGTAAGATTGAGTTGGTTCCTTTCCATCCAGGCCTTCAAAGCCTCCATTGGTCAGCCCAAGGTAAATGATATAATTGGGTATCATTAGCATATTGAATATGCTGAACTTCAAACCACCAAATGACCTCACCCGTTAGCTTCACATAAATGTTAGAGGGGAGATGGTGGCAAATGCAGAAAAGGAGCCTAGGGGATGACCTCCCTCTCTGCCGACACCATAAACTGTCCATGAAAGAAGAATGAGAACTACTATAAAATGGTGTCTCCGATTCCCAACCCCCAAAGCCAGTTCAGAAGGATACCGTGGTTAAAGTTGTCTGAAAAATCAAGAAGCATTAGAATCAAATATCAGCTCCAGAACTCTGCCACAAATCATTAAGGGAAAACAAGCCTGAATCAGTACTTAAAACCCAGACTGAAATAGTTCTAGTTAACATGCTAGCTAGGTCTGTTTGAAAACAACACACTCTTATGCCAGCAAAAAAAAATGTTTTTCTGAAGACTAAATGCTGAACTCCAGTGACGCACTTGCTAAACTCATTTGAAGAATACCTGTACTGTACCAAACAGATTAGATAAAGTTCCTTACCTCCAGTGGGTCCGCATGTGTGCTTAAGATAAAATCAATTTCACAGGAAATTATACTGCTTAAAGGGAGAGTGCTAGTCTCCCTTGATTTACTCTCCTATTGATCTATTTCTATGCTAGCCACTGTTTAATACCAAATTGTTGATATTTTCACTTCAAATTCTGTACCTTCTGCCTCAAAATTGATTAAAGAAACCATATTTATTTGTATCAATTTATTTCATTAGCAATAGAACTTAAACTTACATACCGCTTCATAGTACTTTAAGTGATTTACAGAGTCAGCATATTGACCCCAACAATCTCGGTCCTCATTTTACCAATCTCAGGAGGAGGGAAAGCCGAGTCAACCTTGAGCCAGTCAGAACTGAACTACAGGCAGTGGGCAGTTAGCCTGCAGTACTGTGTTCTAACCACTGCACCACCACAGCTCCTAGAGTTAGAATTTATGTTATGGCTTATACAGAAAGAAATATTTACTAAATGGACTCCCACTGTATTGCTATAGGAAAGGAGTAAATCGTGCTGTTGGAGATGGAATCAAAATAAACATGTTTTTGCCATGTCTTAAAGTTACTAATCTCTGGAAAAAATACATTAATCTGATCTTGAAACAAAGTTTTTTTTTTTTTTTTGGATGCACACCTTTTGAACTACATACTACATGGAAATTAAATGGATTCTTGGATAGATGGATGATGTGCCATCAAGTCATTTTTAATTCCTAGCAACCACATAAATAGGTTTTATATTCTCCATGACATTATTGCCAGGAGCTTACTATTTAGCATTGAAAATACAAATTTATGGTTTCAGTACTCAGCAGATTGAAGACCTGATGTTATTTACATCTTTGAATTGGTGGGCTATAGTTATACATGGACAGTTAACAATATTTCCTTGAAATATGTTACTCAAAATATTAAAATTTATGTTAATCCATATATCTGCATGAGAACCCTTTTGTCTACAATTTATCTTGTTATTGCATTTCACTTTCTAAATATTTGTTTTCTCTAATGTTCTATTAAATAAAGCCAAAGAAAAATTAAAATGTATAATTTTCTCATTAGAAAAACATGAAAGATGCTTTATTGGCAGATTTCAGGAGCAGGGAAATGTTACCTACAAGATAAATTTAAATGTTCTATTCTTGCTTCATCACTACTGTTTCAGGTTGTCGTAACAGAATATTTGGGAACAATGGTGTAAATATACAAAATATGTCCCGGGATTAGGGATGCATTGATAAGAAACTGTGTGTTAATGTAAGACATTAATTGTGTTCCAGGTTTCTGATGGAGCATGATATATTCCTATCACAGAGTTAGGTTTTTCTTGTTGCAAACTGTTATGTTGCTTGTGCAGAGCTCAAGCTGTGTTTCTGATCTCTTCAGAGATAACCTCCAGTTGGACTATTTTAAGCAGTATAATTTCCTGTGAAATTGATTTTATCTTAAGCACACATGCGGACCCACTGGAGGTAAGGAACTAATCTGTTTAGTACAGTACAGGTATTCTTCAAATGAATTTAGCAAGTGCATTACTGGAGTTCAGCATTTAG